TTTACAAACATAGATCATGCGATGAACACTACAAGGCAAAAAATTATCTAAAAAGTAATTAATGTAAAAAATAATAATACTAATAATACTAACCAACTCATTTATAACTGGATAGGGTCCAAAATGAGCAACTTCAAATTAAAAATTACAAAACAACGGTTAGTTCCTAATTTTTCTTTAACCAATAACAACAAAAAGCATAAAAATACTCAAAATCAGTCGGTTTACCCAACTCATAAAAATCTTGAATAACACACTATTTAGCTCATTGTTTAAAAACGGAAGGAATAAGAATGTGAATGTGATACTCAACATTTACTTTTAACTTCCAAAAACCATTAAATATTCCAAACTTACAATTCTAAATGACGGTTTAATATATAAACCTATCGTTGAATATGCTTTTATAAAATAAAAAAGTTTGTGGGTCTCAAAAAATTAAAGCATGTAGTATGTAATAAAATCTCTATCTCAATTAATGCACATTCAACGTGAAGAGGGTGCTAGAAGGTCCGTTTAAAATGACTATTACTTTCAAAATAAATAATAATCAGTTTTTGAAGATTTAATTTATCATTTTATCTTTTGTTATTTGATTACTATGATAAATAGTTTTTTTTTTTTTTTTCGAATGGCAACATATTATTAAAAACCAAACTAGCAAGAAACTAGCTCGAATTAATAGAAAACATTACATAATAGCAAGTTTCGGATTTTGAAGCCACCCAATCCAACACTACTAGAATAAAAGGTATCAGCGAGGGAATCAGCGACGGAAATTTTCTGTAGCTATATTAGCGACGGAATTACGAGGGTTCGGTGACGGAAATAAAAAATACGTATGTTTATTTAATTGTAGCCTTCAGCGAGGGAGTAACGAGAGATTACCAAGGAATCTCCGACGGAATTGCGATGGGCTTAATCCCTCGTTGATAATTCTTCAGAAGCACACCCCAGTCGGTTGCTGATTTTCATTTCCCTCCTTAGGTTTTCATTCCCTCCGATTCCACTTTTCATTCCCCCCATTGCACGATGAACAATTATCTTTTCCCTCGTTAGGTTTATCATTCCCCAAAATTCCATACGTTCCCTCTCAGTCGACATTCTTCTTCTCCCTCCTAAATTGGGCCGTCGTCACTCACTCTATCAATCAACCATCGCCCACCATCACCGAGAAGAACAACTCTTCCTCCGTCGGGATACGAAAAGGGAAAGTTCATGCTCTACCCCTAACACAAACGATTTCTCCTCCGATTTCTTGGAATTGTTTTCTATAGGGATTTGGAATTGTTTATTTTATAGATTTTAACCTGATGATTTTCTACAAAAGAGTTCAATTGAGTAATCGAATCTAGTTGTCCCGTTAAGATTTGGACATGATTCTTTTCTACAAAAGACTTCAACTTTCCACTCGTAAATTGGATGCCTGTGTTGTCCCACAGTAAATTGATTAAAGAAAAACAAAATACAAGTCAAACATTACAAAATTTTAAATGAGTATATAAAATATATTTGGATCTTACTAACCATCGCCAAAAGAGTCCTTGATGATAGTTCCAGTGCCTCCATCACCTTCGATGTCCACTAGGGTTTTTTATGTTTCTAGATCGATAGGCATTGAAAATTTTGAAGTTGGGAGGGAAGAAGAAATCTCGAACTCAGAAGTAATAATTGTCGTGATATTAAATCACTCTTTAATGGTGTATTATTTTAATTTATCGAATGACAAATATATGGTAGTTTTGTAAGTTAGCATTTGTTTAGACGTTCCCAAATTCCATAGTGGGGTACTATTTTAAATTATCTAATGACAAATAAGAGTTTGTTGCATTTTTAGAGTTGGCATATATTTGGAAACTCAACAAGGAACGTGTATCACTAGTGTCAACACAGAAGCACAACCATGCACTATTCTTTCTTCATTTCAATTTTCATTAATTCTTCATATATATATATATATATATATATATATATATATATATATATATATTTTACCTTATAAAGCATTTTTAGTCAAACCCTGAACTTTAAGTCGTACAAACCTAATTGCCCTGTTTACAATCCGTTTATGCATATAAATCTTATTTGGTCAATAGCTTTAAAAAGTCAAGGTATTGAGTTGAATTCTTATCCACAGCCCGTGATTTAATGGATTGATCAATACCAAATCCCCTTAATCTCGGCCATATCTCCTTGAATCCTTTATCCTGGAACCCTCTCCTCTTATATTTTACGATCCTCCAATTTCATCAGCCTCCCCTCCGAAATCAATTGACCGAAGATCTTCACCGTCACAGCCACTCACGCCATCTCCAACCTCTGCCAACCACCACCGCCTGAAAACCAGTTCACCAAGAAGCACCAACCACCAAACGGTCGCCCATATACCCCAAACACCACCGTCAGCCAACAACAACCACCGCCACCATCGAGCTTCCACTGCCATCAACGATAACAACCACCTGACACCCCTCACCAACTGTCGACCAACCTCGCACCACCACTTCCGTGAACCCCCACCATCGAATTTCTGATTTCATGTTTGACTGGTACACCATCTCTTCTCGCCTTTTATTATTCCTATGTTCTCTTCTGATTCACAAAGCCCTAATTGAAACTCTAGCAGTATTTTGAAAATCAAATGATAAATTGGAACACAATTAGACTTATTCATATAATTGACCCATTCTTGGCTTATGACAAGGGGAAAAGTGAATTCGTCACACAATATCGAAGGCACAAGGAATGGTAGTTTTATCACATTTTCATCTGAGGTATTGCTGTTGGATCCCATGTTTTTTTAACATTTCTACTCATCTTAGATTTTGGTTATCAAGAAAAAATTAGTCAATTTAAGATTTGGATGAAAAACATAAGTGTGAGGAAGCAGAAAAATGGTCAAGATTTTGCTTTAATCACAGTTATTTTAACATGGGTCCTCTTTTTCCCCAATTTCCATCACCCATTTTTTCTTCCAATCTGTTTATTGTCCCCATAAGATCTTCGAAATTACAGGTTTTGAGTTTCAAATATCAGCGCTTTTGAATTATTTCTTAGGCCGGTTGTATTGTCAATGGAATGTTGGGTTTACAGGTTTTTTCTCAGGTAGATACTTTGGAAACCCTCGATAAACATTTCAAGATCTCGATATGGTCCTATGGATTTAAATATTTTTTCTTAATTTATTTTCTTAATATCTATATGATGTTTTTTTAAGGTCGTCATCGTAACATGGACAACCCTCAATGGAACCGTTGTCTCTCCTCATCTCCGTCTTCTCTCATAGACACCACCACCATGCTTGAACCTTGTATTCCTATAAATAGGTGATCACCATTAGTGCATCTTTAATGGAACAAAGAAAAGGGGTCTAAAATCAGGTACCTAAATTTATCATTGATGTAATTGTTGTTTAATGCGTTTAATGGTAAAGACCTGAAATTGATGTATAATGTATTTCCGTTTGACTGTAAAGACTTGAATTTGTCTTGAATTGCATTTAATTGTAACTAATGGTTTTTATTGCAAATTTGTTCCAATATATTCCAGTTCCATCTTTTGGGTTTCCTTATTTAGCATTTTCTGACCGATCCACTTATAATTTCCACAATCATGTACAGATGCTACTACCAAGGTTTTCTTTCTCTCTTTCTCTCTCTATGTGTGTTTCGTGCTCTTACTGTTTTGCAATAATAGACACACACACACAGACCACTCACTCTAATTTTGGTTTAATTTGCTAAATTTTGTAGGAGGACTCAAAAATCAAAAAGTTAGAAGCTGACATGTGTGTTTATTCAAGCTTTATATTTTTCCAGGTTTGTATAACTAATGAAATAGATGGATTTACGTTTTTTTTAATAATGACTAAAACTTTGTGACTTGTGTTACTTATTTCATATATTTTTCCAGGTTTGTGTAACTAATGAAATAGATGAATTCCATAGCTTTTCTTTCTGATCAGGAAAAGAAGATGAAAACAAGTTTGTAAGAATCTAATTTTTTAAGACCATGTGGAGAGGCCAATTGAAGAGACGCCCTGGTGGGGATTTTATGTAAATTACCTTACTTATTTCATATATTTGTTGATATGAATCTGTCCATTTATATGTGTATGGAATCTGATGGTAAGTTATCCTGGCAGCTACTGCCTTTTATATTTGATTTTTTTCTCTTTTGGTAGTCTTATCATTTCCTGCTTGCTGTTTTCAAGATTCATGCCCATATGGTGAATCCTGTAAGTATTTTCATCCCAATCAAGACTTGGTGAAACAGGAATGTGTAGGTATTTGTAGGCAAATCATTTTTAATTCTTTTTTTTGCAGCTTTTTTTTTGAATTTGACTATAGCTTGCTTTAAACCACATTAGAGTTTCAAATGTCTGTCTTTTCATTTAGTATTCCTATTTACCCTCCTTAACGTTTTTTCATATTGATTGTTTGTCAATTGTACATGATTTTATAGGGAACAAGGCTGGTGTTGTATATGTCAAATTGAATAAATGTCATTTGAAGGTTAGTGTTTGATGTTTAGAATGCATACCTCAACCATTAACTCATATCCCTCCTTAACATTCACTTTTTGGTTGCATATAGATATGAAACATGAAGCCGATGAGGCTTATTATGGTGCAACTCTTTACTATAAGAAAACATATACGTTAGACTCGAGGGAATGGTGCTGAGTTCATTGAGCTCCACCACATCCAAACAACCCTCCACCTCAATGATTGTTAAGTTGGGAGAAGAGAATGATCGGGATGCCGAGTGGGGGAGAAGATGAAAAAAGGCTTTCTTTCTTCTACAACCGGTTATCAAGTTGGTTTGCCCAACTTGGAATGCCGAGCTCGGGTGCCGGTGTATGCTGAGGTGAGTCAACAATCGCCAAGCAAGAGCAAGTGCCCAAGCTGCTCCATGTAATTAACCTTATGAATGAAATTTGTAAAAAAAGTTGGAAACATGAAGAAATTAGAACCTTAATGAATCATGGTATGCCTTGTGATTTCTTGGGTATTTGGTTGGCAAAAACTAGAATGGAATTCAATTAATTAAAATTAACATTTCCAATTTTTTACTTTTTATTTTTACTGATACTTTCGGTTATGTTGCAACTACTTCGGAATAACCAACTTGACCTTTAGTTTCATATTATGGTATTACAAGGATCCATATTTGACTACTAATGGTATTTAAGTTCTATTTTTTCTAATATTATTTTTTGCAATTTTAAGTCCAGTATCATGTTTTTCTTTGGAACACATGAGCACTCAAAGAGGGTGGATATACGTCAATTGGATTCCAATGGACTTTTCTAAATGCATTCAAGTATAAAATGGCTAAATATGCGTTAAAGTGTAAACCAAACATCAACTTTGAAATGGTTTTCTACTTTGCATCAGACATTTAGTTTTTACCGTTTTGCAATATCAAGGTTTGTTGGTATTTTTTTTTTTCAATCTTAAGGTATCATGTTTTTCTAATTATAATATCAGTTATACCATGTTTTAATGTTATCAAAAATAACATATCTCATTTCTCCATTTTAAAAATATCATATTTTTCATGCTTTTAGCATTGATAATCTATTTGAAACGACAAGTGGACTTGGTAAGGATAAAAACGGGTATTTTGGTTAGTTATGGAATCTTTTATCTAAAAGACTTATGTTTAAATATCAGACCTCGTTTTTATTTAAATAAGTTATAGTTTAGCTTGAAATTATTTATAAATTCTATTGTTATTGAATTTTAGATGGTACGACTTTGGCAGCAAGTAAGAAATATCAGTGTCTCCACCAACATGAATGCCTTTTATAACAATGTCAAAAACAAACAAGTAACTACATGATATATAAAAATCAATGCAACACTAGGATGAATAGTTTAATGGTACACTAGATGCTATTGATAAAGAGAATATGAGATGACGTTAAAGAATATTTTATTATTATATATTTTGTTAATTTAAACTTTTAAGAGTCTATTAAAAGGCTATCAAATAGTCCGTAAATAAATGTATAATGCTACCAAGATAAAAAGTTATATATTTCCTAATTGCACATGACTTCTTTGAACAAAACAATACATGTCATGTAAACAAAACACAAAAAAAAATTAAAAAAAAAATTTTAATAAATAAATAAATAATAAAAAAAATAAAAAGTTATATATTTCCTAATTGCACATGACTTCTTTGAACAAAACAATACATGTCATGTAAACAAAACACAAAAAAATAAATAAATAAATAATAAAAAATTTAAAGCTAAAACGAAACCTTTTAACTTCAGTTTTAAGTAAAAGCTATTTGACAGAAACTATCCATTAGTGCATTAAATATTTTTTTGCAATGATATATGTTTGCTTAAAGAAATTATTCGTGAGAACAAACTACTCAAAGAAATAAAACTATACAAAACTAAACACCAAAAGAAAACGATTCGTCGAAAAGCAACTTACGTTCTTTGAAATATAACATGT